AATACCTCGAACACTAATAGTATACAGTATGACAATTAACTAATGTTCTAAAAACCTTAAAGTTTGCTCTAGAAAACTTAATCTCAAGGCTAGATAGCTTCATCAGTACATATTTCGTTAATACTACTAGTAATATGAACGCTGGTATCATTACTCATATCCCTACTACCACAATTAATATTACTTGCATTCCAAATACTACTACTACTACTACTACTACTACTACTAGGGATGAATTATTGTTCACTTTCCCCTAAAACAGCCATTTCGTTTTCTGTTTCTATCTCAATTTACTGTTAATACTCTCATGTCGTCCCTTGCTTTTCTCTGAGGAGAATCTTTACCCATTGCTGGTAATTCCCTATGATTTCTGCTACCATTTCAACATATACCACTTATATCCATTCTGATCAGTACCTCTCACTACACTACTAGTATGACTGCTGTCACTATTACTATTCTGCGACCTTTCTGCGCATTTTCGATTTTGCCCAGTGGATACCTAACAACAAATGTTGATTTCCCCTTTAGGTTTTCCTTACAAAAAGGCATTTTCACATTGAATTTTGACAGGGTAATATAGTCATCATTTGATAGGCAATTATATCTGTGTTGGTTAATGTTTTGTTATTAAAAGACTTTTGAATTCGGTTGGCTGGTTACATTATGATACTCAGAGATGAGTGTATAACGATGCTAAACCTCCTAGTTTAATGGGCATATTGTAAATATGATCGATAGGATTCGGTCTACACTGATAGCTAGACAACATGAAATTAGTTTCTGTCCCATGCCCAGTCCTACAGGAGGTCAAACACAGCCAGAACAGCTCAATGGTAACGTTGGTGACTACAAGACTGGTTGAGATGGGTTGAACCCTCAGTTCCATCCAAGTTGCACACTCTCCTTGCTGATGAAAGCCAACAAGGAAAAAGCTTAGGTTCTTGGCTCTCTCCTGATTGACTCCAACTAGCTAACATCTATCAATATGCACAGGAATGCTGAGCCTTCTAGCTTGGTAGCCACGTTGTAAATATGACAGACAGAATTCAGTTTGCACTCTGGACTAGACAACATGAAATTTCTTTGCTATCCCATGACCAACCGATGTATTTCGGCTTTTTTTGTATAATATAGCATAGCATGATTGATATAATCAACACTTCAACATTCATTTTAATGAAAGAGGTTTCTTTTTTAAGCTTGAAAAGATATTTTTATACCATATAAATAGCTAACTCTCTTCTTTAGTTACCTGACTCAATTTCGGCTGTTGATTATTGACGTAAATCATCACCTTAGCTACTGTCTACTGAATAAAACTTATGCAAAAGTTTACAAGAGTTTTATTTTCATTTTACCAACATAAACAAACACAATACACATGATGGAAAAAACAATGTAGCATGCCACACTTATCATTAGTTCGTAAAAGTAGTCCTTTAAGCTTTCACTGATTGATCTTATCATAGGAGACTTTTTTATAGGCTTAAAGTACGCCTAGGATATAATCCTACTACCTGAAGATACTGATGGAATACAGAGTTACAATTTAAAGGTATTCATGACTGATATGCATTGATATGCAGTCTGACAAAAGGTAGAGCAGTGATTGAGAGCTCTGACCACTTCTTTCACTGAGCATTTCTGATTAGTCTCGATGAATCAAGGACCGGTGAAATCTTGGTATGGATGTAAAAGGCTTGATGAATTGTTACCAGCTCATGTCATCTACAACGTAGGAATGATATCCGATTGTCCATTACCAGATGGGTATATGATACAGCTGTTCGCTCTGTTCTGCTATGTGACTGTAAAACGTCGTCATTAAAAATGGAGGATACAAATAAACCTTGCGTGTTCAACTGCGTTTCTTGTACAGTTGACTGTGTGTGCTAAAACCACCACATTATTAATGTTCAAGCTAAGCGTAGAGTCTTAGGTAAGAGAGGTAGGCTGGGTGGTTTGGATATGCTTTATATGTTCCTAATCATTGTAAATCCCTTCATATTGTGTTACTCGAAGTAGGTTAGCAAAAAAGTTAGAGACTGAAAAGTTAAAGAACAGAATAACTTCATGAAGTCTTTGACTACTGGTTTCACTGTGTAAGAGAATGTACATTACCATGTTGGGTTCTACATGAGTACTAAATTAGGTGGTAAAACATCATGGTAAAACAAAAGACGCCATAATTTTAAGTGAAAACAAATCAGTAAGTATGCGCAATCACTTTGATAACGATGGCAGGTGGATATACTTCAGTCACTAAAATCGACTCTCATCTAGTTCATCCCACATCTCCAACAATCCTCCTTAGTTGTTTTGAGAATGGTAGTCAATATTATCACATGGCTCACTTTCATAGTGAGAAATTGCATGGAATTGTAGTGTACGTTATTCAGATCAGTTTAAGCGTCCTTGAAGACTAGGCCTATTTAGGTTACAGTAGCTCAATTGAGTGGAAGTCAGCATGCACAACACATATCTTAGCCTTGGGCACTGTGGTCGATTGCAGTTACATTTTAGTCTGTTTATTAGAAATATCACATAGTGAAGGAACAGTAGCATTTACTGGATAACGTCTGCGACACAATTTATTGTCCATATTCATACCAAAAAGCTAAATCCACAACTTCAAAACAGACTTTATATACTCCTAATTTTCTCTCCTTCTCTGTGATGACAAGGGTAGTAGAATTTTCTATATATCTGGAACACAGGTGCACAATCATTTCTATTACTGGGTGCATTTGGTGTTTATTCGATCTACAGAGATTCAGTTATCAATCTATCCCTCCCTCCAACCAACTAAGTTAGTTTTCAACACTGTCGCCCCATCCCACCCTACTGTGTGATTGTATGTCATCGCATGCAGAGCTATAGCCGAGCTTTCCTCTAAATTTTTTATCTTATTAGGATCTACTAAGTTTGCTTTAGCTAAGTTTTTGTGCTGTGTTAATGTAATTGACCCTGGACAGGACCATATGAGGAAATTAAGAAGTCAGTGGATACTGTTCTGAACAAGGTCAAGAAGTCGACAGGGGATCTGATACGCCAGATGAAGCCATTTCTACGTGAGTCGAAGTGCTTTAATTTAATGCCGAAAACTAATAATCCCAGTAGAATGTATGGTACTATTAAGATTCATAAGCCAGGTCATCCCATCAGGCCTATAGTACATTTAGAAACACTCCGACTTACGAGTTGTCTAGATAATTAGCAATGGTGTTAGGCCCAATAAGAAATCACTCAAAGTCTCGACTTACCAACTCCTATGACCTCTTAAAGCATAGATTAAACGATATACACTTACATGACAATGAAAAAATGGTTAGTTTTTAACATAACTAGCCTTTACACAAATATACCGATCGACATGGTCCTACAAACAGTTAGAAATGGGCTTAAAGATGACAATGAGCTTACGCAACGAACTAAGGTGCCGATCAAGCAAATCATACTACGACTACCATTGTGTCTAACATCTACACTATTCAGGTTTTAAAAGAAAATATATAAACAACCTGAAGGTGTTGCCATGGCATCATCAATATCCTCAGACAGACATATTTAAGGAGAGTTGGTAACAAACATTCAAACGTTTAGTCCTACTTCAAAGATATGGTTCCGATATGTAGATGATACATTTACAGTATTGAAATCGGAATACATCAATAGGTTGTTGGTACATATAAATTCAGTAGTGAATGCAATCCAATTTACCTGTGACTTACAAAGTGAAGAAGGTGAGCTAGCAATGTTGAATCGCAAGATTAAACAAACACAAGACGGAAGATTAGAGACTAGTGCTTATAGGAAACCTGTCCATTCGAATCGTTACTTAGACTTTAAATCCTCCCACCTCATTTCAGTTAAAGTAGGCCCAGTTAAATGCTTAAGTGATAGAGAGAAACAGCTTACTAGTGGATTGAGAAATCTGTGACAAGAAATTAGACACATCAAGAATACCCTACGTCTCAATAATTACCCACCTAAGTTTATAAATAAATTTATAGGAAACCAAAATAAAAATATTAGCAGTAGTGATACAGGTGTTATTGATGCCAATTCTACTACTACTAATGGTTATAATGGTGACAGGGTTGAGAGAATTCAAAGCCTCTGCTGTGTTACCATACAAGGAAAGCACCTCACAAGCATTACGAAGAATTCTCAATAAGGCTGGCTGGGATTCAAGTGGCTGGCATTTAAACCAACAAACTCGCACACAAACAAGTTTCGTAGTTTAAAAGATCCTATTGAAGCAATTAAACAAAATAATTTGGTTAACCAAATCCCTTACAATCATTGCCAGGTCAAATACATATGTCAAAGTAGTCAACCAAGGTCAACTGGAATAACACAGCACAAAGACTTAACTAAATCAAGATTAGTAGATCCTAATAAGATAAAAAATTTAGAGGAAAGCTCGGCTATAGCTCTGCATGCGATGACATACAATCACACAGTAGGGTGGGATGGGGCGACAGTGTTGAAAACTAACTTAGTTGGTTGGAGGGAGGGATAGATTGATAACTGAATCTCTGTAGATCGAATCAACACCAAATGCACCCAGTAATAGAAATGATTGTGCACCTGTGTTCCAGATATATAGAAAATTCTACTACCCTTGTCATCACAGAGAAGGAGAGAAAATTAGGAGTATATAAAGTCTGTTTTGAAGTTGTGGATTTAGCTTTTGGTATGAATATGGACAATAAATTGTGTCGCAGACGTTATCCAGTAAATGCTACTGTTCCTTCACTATGTGATATTTCTAATAAACAGACTAAAATGAATATATCTTAGGCATCTCGTTTTCACTACTTGGATAAATTACTTACCCACCTTACTCAAAACTCTTCTCTCGTCAGATAGTGTTTTATCTATAACATGCAAGAGACTCTTTGAAGTCAATGTTGATCAATTTTTTCCTGGAAATCCTTTATACTTATATCGATTGACACTACTGACGAATGTTTGATAAAACACATAAAACTCATGTGAATTATAGAATTTATTCACTTTATCAAAAACAATGACACAGGTTTTGTAAACTTTAAAGAGAAAGAGAAAACAGTGGAAAATGCAAACAAACAAAACTGAGATCTTCATCTCATTAATAGCGTGCATAGACTGTTTTCTTTTTTCTATTCTGCTAAAGTAAACGCAAATATCAAATTAAAAAGAATTTTTGTTTTTAAAATGTGATACACAGATCATAACAATTTGAACTTGGAAGTTCACACATAACAGTAAACTGATAGACACTTGAAGTAATCATAACAGAAACAAAGTAAATAAGAGAGAAAAAAGGAATATGATTTATTCATTAACTTATATATATATATATATATATATATATATATATATATATATATATATATATATATATATATATTAGATGATGATTGGACTACTTCATATGTCTGTCACACATAAATTATCGATTATTAAGACATCACATGAAGGACACATGAAGGTCAAACATATAAATGTGGGTTTCTGAGATTACTGACTGTAGTAGACTGTAGTAACACCTAAAGTAATAGGAATTAAAAAGAAAGCAAAATGATTATTTTGGTTTCTTTCTCTGAAAAAGAAAAATTGTAAATTTTTTCAACAAATTAATATTGGTTTTAATTTTTGTCTATAGCTTTTTGTATCGGTTCAGGAAATAGGAAACTAATTTTTTAAATGACAATTGAAAATTCAGCTCTGTAATATAATAGAAATGCATTTAACGGAAACATGATCTATTTAGAAAGTTCATTGTCAATTTTATAATTTAAAATTTACCAAAAATTATATTTTTAGACTAAGAGATTACAGAAAGAGGAGGAAGATAAGCGGGGAACTGAACTTATTTACACCTATTCTTATGATCAACAAGCCCACACTATTTGGATATTTAATAAGAGTATATTTACTATTAAATTGATTTCTTCAATTACTTTATTCATATAAGAGAAAAGTTCATAAGATCATATTACCAATTCAAAGGTGCCTAAGAACAGATCTACTTAGGTGATAACTGTGTCGATTACTATATAGAATGGTCATAGTTAATGTGGTTCAGTTACTTTCTATAGATATTTGTTTATACCTTGGTTGGATCAAAAGTATGTTCATTCGTTTAAACATCTCTGCATTTGTCAATTCCTTCACTAGATTAATGATAAATGCTTTTCGTATGCACATGATATTGATTACGGATAGTTTAATTTAGAGGCTGAGTACAACGTATAAAACACTCGACAAAGAAGTGAAGAGGCATGTGAGTAAACACAAAAGACACTTCTACGACACATTGACAAGTGAGGCAGAATAGGCTGCTGGTAGGAGAGACCTCACAACATATTATCAAATAACCAGATTACTATCTGGGAAGAGATCAACTTAGATGAAACCAATAAAAGATAGTGAAGGAAAGCTAGTTGGCAAAGAGGAGAAACAAAGAAACAATAAGCTGACCACTTCAAAAAAAAACTCGGGAATCAACCACCACCTTCTGCAACTCACCCAGAAATACCACCAGCAATGGCAGAACAACCAGTGAACGCAAGCCCTCCGACAAAAGCGGAAGTGAATTCCCGAATACCATAAAACTGCTGAAATCCGGGAAAGCAGTAGGATCAAATGGAATTCCTCCAGAAGCACTGCAAACAGACACAGAGACAATAATGGACATGCTCACACCACTATTGCAGAAGGTTTGAAAGTAAAGAAAGGTACCTGCAGATTGGAAGAAGGGGTACCGTGCCAAACTTTCAAAGAAGGGACGCCTAAGTCTTCGCAAGAACTGGTGCGGAACTATGCTGCTGTCCACACCAAGCAAGCGAAACATTATGCCGCATCATCTTAGAGAGAGTAAGGAGGCGCTGGACTCAAAACTACGACCAGAACAGGCTGGCTGGCTGGCTTCAGGAGAAACAAATCATATGCGGATCAAATTGCAACGCTACGCATCATCATAGAAGAGAGCATAGAATAGCAGTCAACTCAACTCAAACTCAACTTCATCGATTTTGAAGAGGCCTGTGACAGTGTCGACCGAGAAGTAATTTGGAAACTGCATCAGTACTACGGAATGCACTAGTCTTTATCAACTTCACTCAACAGCTATATGAAGATGCCACATGCCAAGTGATCCACAATGGAAAGCTCAGCGACGCCTATGAAGTGAAGACAGGAGTAAGATGACAAGGCTGTCTACTATCACCCATGATCTTCCTGATTGTGGTCGACTGGACTGGACTCGATTATGCAGGAAACCGTGAGGAGCGAGAAGATGGGCATACACTGGACCTATGAAAAGAGCCTAGAAGATTTATATTTCACCGATGATTTATGCTTAATGTCCCACAAACTCGAAGATCTACAGGTGAAAACTAACAAGTTGACAGAAGAGGCGGCGAAGATGGGACCCCCTTCAGGTGAACGTAGAGAAGACGGAGGTGATGAAGATACCCAACGAACAATAGCATAAACAACAAGCACGAATCACCATCAACGGGAGAAATCTAAAGCAAGTTGTCTCTTTCACCTACCTAATTAACTAGGCAGCATCCTTCCGACTACAGGTGGCACAGGCACAGATGAGGATGTCAAACTCACGATCAGAAAGACAGTAAGACAGGTTTCCACTAATCTGAAATCAGTGTGGAGATCTACTGCACTCAGAACAAAGAGTGAACAACATCCGGATTTTCAACACCAATTCAGTCAAGTAACTCAGTGCTTCTATGTGATAGTTCAGAAACTTGGTGTGTCACAGAAAGCATTTCCAACAAACTACAGACATACATCACATCAACAGCTGCCTACAGCCACTCGATACTGAAGATGAGATGGCCAGAATGATAAGAATAAGCAACCAGGAACTCTGGGAACGTGTGAATCAAGAACCTTCCATGCAACAAATATGCAGTAGAAGCAAGTGGAGATGGATTGGACTGGGCATACATTGAGAAGACCGAATGGGGACATCCCTCGACAGGCCAGTCAGTCGAGTGGAGTACAAAGGGGAAACGACGAGTTGTGTGTCCCAGATGAGGGTGACATGGAGGAGATCATGTGAGGAGGAAATGAAAGGTTGTGGGCAGTTGTGGAGCCAGGTTAAAAAGGCTGCAGAGAAGAGAGTGCAGTGGAGATGTGCAACTGAAGCCCTATGTTCGACTAGGAACCCAGTGGAAAGAAAATAATAGTGATAATATTAATAATTTGGGGGCTTGTGGGGATTCATTGATTTCAAGTGGATATTCATTAAGGACTGACAATTGTTGGGGGAACATAAGAAACCTAGGAGCACTGGGTAGCTGTCTCGTCTTAGAATAGCCGAGTAACTCACCAGGAATCGAACCAAGAACACTCAGCTTCCTCGAGTCGAAATCTAATGACTCATATTTTCCGCTTTTGTTAGTTCACGATATAGTGCGGCTTCCATCCAATGACATGGTTGAGTAACTGCCCTCATATTCGACTTCTCTGACCCCAACAGATACAACCTGCCTCTCATTGGAACTCCAGGAATCACCTCGTGAAGATAGTCATCAATAAGCACTAGATTACACATAGATCATTCGAGTATCGATGCACTTATGCAAATTTCCTGTTCAGTATTCAAACAATACGTCGTTATGCAGTCAGGAATCCATTTTTTATGATTCTAGACCAACTATTGGGTTAGATGTAACCATGAGTAAAAGGGAGAAAGCTTTAAGGATTTACAGATATGGGTTAAGTAGTTTTCTAAAAATTTACTTACATCAATGACACTTGTCATTCGCGTTCATTCTTCATTCATTGGCTAGAAACACTTTCGCTTTCTGAAGATCTTTTAGTGGATGACTTCATAGAAGAATGATCAGAAAATGAATCTATATTTGGTAGGAATAAAATAAAGCATTACATATTATTACATTTTAAAAAGATTACCCTTGTTTTTCCGTTTGTGTTGCCAAGTAGAAACATTTTTTCTGTGTATTGCGTCTTAAGCTTTGGCATAAAGTTTCTATACTATGCCCTTTAAGTTCCGTAGTAATATCAGGTCCTATTTTGTTACTGACTGACTGACTACTCGCTTATAATTTATGACATGTGCAAGTCTAATTATCTTCAAGTATGTTACTGATTTCTTTCGATTTTTAGGATCAACAGATTGTACAGGTTGAGGAAGAAATATAGGAAGTACAGCCTGGACTGGATCATGCAAAAACTGTGAAGAGTGAGAAGAGGGGTATATGCTGGTTGGACCGATGAAAAGACCTCAGAAAAAGATTTGGATTTCACCGCCGATGATGATTTTTGTCTGATCTCTTGTTGCACAAACTTGAAGATCTACAAGCGAAAAGTAACAAGTTGACAGAAGAGGTGAGGTGAGGCAGCGAAGACGAAACTTCCTACAAGTCAACGTAGAGAAGACAGAGATGATAAAAATATTCAACCAACAACAACGAGCACCAATCCCCAGCAACGGGAGAAATCTAAAGGAAGTTGTCTCTTTCATCTAACTACCTAACTAGGCAGCATCCTTGCAACTACAGGTGGCACAGGCACAGATGAGGATGTCAAAGTCACGATCGGAAAGACAGCAAGGTAGGCCTTCATGAATCTGAAATCAGTGTAGGGATCTACTGCACTGCACTGCACTCAGCACAAAGAGTGAACAACATCCGGATTTTCAACACCAATTCAGTCAAGTGAGTCAGTGCTTTTATATGATGGTTGAGAGACTTAGCGGTGCGTTACGAAAACCATTTCCAACAAACTACAGACATACATGAACAACTGTCACCTACGCTCACACGATACTGGCACTGAAGATCAGATGGTGAGAATAATAATAGGAATAAATAAGAAGGAACTCTGACTGGTTGGCTGGCGACGAACCACCCAAGAAGCTATCACCCAACAAATAATCAGTAGAAGCAAGTGGAGATGGATTGGACTGGGGATACACCTAGAAGACCGGTTGGGGGACATCATGCGTCAGGCCAGACCAGGCCGTCGAGTGAGACCGGAATGAGAATGACGAGTTGGCCGTCCGAGGCGAGGTTGACATGGGGGAGATTTTGTGAGGAAGAAACGAAAGGTTCTGGCAAGTCATGTAGCCAGGTTGAAAAAAGCGAAGAGAAGAGAGTGCAATGGAGACGTGTAACTTAAACCATATGTTCCACTAGGAACCCAAAGCACAAATAATATATGTAATAATACACACTAGTAACAACTGAACATTGAATGGAAATATTTTGACGAAGAATGATACCGAAAATTGTTTAAATTCTACATTTATAATGCTCATACAATAAACATCGTTAGCCTTTTCCAAGATAATGCACCTATCATATTTTGAGTTTTATGCATTATGTTGTGAACTAATTATTTCGGAATATAATAGTAATTTACTTGTTTCTGGCTAACAGAGGAGTCCAGGACTCGTCAGCTGGATGCACGTGCATCCCAGTGAACGATATTATTCCCACTGGGACCCGAACCTCATACTTATTGATTTAAACACCAAAGCATTATCCATTAGGCCAATGAGGCATGATAGCCACTATTTTAGACAAATGACAATTGACTGAAGTCATTTTTAAACTGAATTTCATCTTTACCAAAAAGTCTAGATATTAACAAGTTGAAATTCTAGAGATTTTTCAAACGCCTGTTAAACTGTCAGATTTGGACAAGTAAAGGATATCAGACGTCAGTTGGAGAAAATTAGGCTACTGTCTTATTGACAATGAAGTCAATTAACCAGTTAAATGATTTGTCGTAAGAAATCAGGAATTACTTATTTCTCATTCAACGTTAAAAAGGAGGACTTTTATCAGCTATTCACTATACATGATAGTTTGTTATTCACCGTCAAAGGTTAGTTAGTTTCTCTCTCTTTCTCTTTGTCTCTAACCATTGATATATTTGCATAACTTGAAGGTAAGAAACTGCTCTCAGACTATTTTGTTTTTCGCCAATCAATTACATATCAACTGCTAACTTTTTTCCCTTCTCATCCTTTTTTTTCAACTTTTTCTTCGAAAATTTGGTTTGATTAATAACATAATTGTGTGATAATGAATCGAAATTTAAAATGAGATTGTAGTGACTATTTTAAAATAAATTTACGTATCACACTTTCATATCCATAAGTAAATTGGTATTAATTGATAACTTAGATAATATTACTGTTTAGGATATTTAGTAACTACTTCAAGAGATATAAAGTTATGAGTTAGAATCCCGCTTGGGAGGTGGAACAGTTCAAATCTTCTTGAAAAAAGTGGATATTGAAAGTGGTCCAAGGTGAGAATGATGACTGAACACCTTTTATTATCCGTTTAGTGTGTGCTGAAAGCTTTAATGCTGACATTCCAAGCATTCAAGCTTACGAGAGTGACCCTGTTATATTAGTTGCCATTTATCCAACTGACACATCAGCATTCATAGACTAAGGAGGGAAAATTTTCTTTGTCACTATCTCTTTTCCGAAATCCATATACCTTTATTCATATAAACATACTGAAATAATTACTATTTGTCGGTATGCTTTTAAACCTCCGTTGTTTTACTGGATCGAATTGTTCAATCTATACTGGCGTATGGCTCCTATATGGATGCTTCGAATACCTGGATTCAGCAAGACAACAGAGAATTACAAGCATATCAATAAATAGTACCCGTTGTACAAGACGTGGCTATCGTGCCTTAGTGGCCTAGTGGATAATGCCTTGGCATTTGAAGTGGTAGGTATGAGGTTCGAGTTTCAGTAGGGACAATATCACTCAGCACTGGGGTGCAGGTACATCCAGCTGATGAGTACCAAACAGGAAGAAAAGCGCATTGTGGATTCCTCTGCTAGCCACAACCAACTTAAACACTGAAAATAGATGGAAACCAATAGGATAGGGACAGTATATACGAGAAAATTGTTTCACGATAAGAACGAAAATCTGTTAAGGGTAGGAGAGTGTGGAGAGTCAAGTTAGAAAGGGCTATTGGGCAAAAAATATGAGAAGGAACCAGCCAGCTATGAGTTAAAAAGAAGTGATAAGAAAATATAATGGAAAAAAAACGGAGTTCTCCTTTTGCATTGGAATTGAGATATTCAAGGTGTACTTTTGAAATGTTTCTTTCAAGTGGTACACAGGCACAACAGTGTCTAAGTTATTCAACGTTCTTTAGTCAAACTTGCAATAGACAGTCTCTATTAGGAGACGGTTTATAAAGAGAGGAGTAACATCCACAGGGAAGTATCATTTGTTTCTTCAACCCACTGAAATGTTTCACTGATTCGATCTTCATGAAGCTAAATATTCTTCATATGCTTCTTGATCAGTTCTATAATATTTACCAGCCGTTTAGCATTCAGATAAGATTGAAAAATTGGTCATACCTATTATGAATGAAAGAGGAATGTCTGTTTCATGTAACCTGAATAATCTATTGATAATTGAACTCCTCGTGTAAGTTGTTCTTCAATGTTTGTGTTTCACTTCAAGAATTATATAATGAAATAAAACAAGTGAAGAAAAACAAGAAGGAGACGAAATAAGCGAAACATTCACTTTTGGAATACAGTTTATTTATTGATCATTGTTTTATAAGGAGTTGCGTAGTGAACTCTAGAGTACCATATCTATGGCTACAACTAAGTGAACTCGAAGTATCTACTCAGTGATTGGTTGGTATAAAAAAACTTGAAACATATCTCATCAAATATAATAGCATTTATACTGAGTGATGCTTGATGGTGAAATGGAAAATTGAACCGCGATCGGATTCAAACCAGCTACCCGATGTTCTACCAAATGAGCTATAAGGTTTAACTGGTGGCCACATTTTTATGTCACTTCAATCAGCATCGGCTTTACCAGACTACCATTTGAATTCTTGATGTATCGGGCCGGAAACCCAGTAGTCGCTGGTTCGAATCCGACAGTGGTTCAAATTTTCATTTCACCTTCAATCATCACCCAGTATAAATACTAGTCTCCCAAACCATGACTATCTTAGATAGTCAAATGATAATAATAACATTTATATACAATGTCATATCAACATTCCTTGTGTTTCAGTAGACAGACTATTTCTTGAATAAGTCAATAGGTTTTCTACTGTTCCAGTAGTTTAACGATACTCCACCTAAAAATATGAGAAGATACACCAAATTGTACTTATTTGAGGTTTATTGCTAAAATGGGAGGGGGGTTATAGGACAGGTTAACTCACTGAGACACAAACAATATTCTTATCTTGACTATCCAAGTGAAAATATTTCAATGGAAACATTTCTGACTACCGTCCTGAGTAGTATGCGTTCTAATTTGTGGTGGAAAATTTGTTGCCTGAAAATTAATTCTACACTACATTAACTTGTATTAACAAACATAAAACGTAGATACATCGTATGATATCATTCGCCTGTAATCACCAAAACACCAAATTAGGTTTGTGGCCTCTTGGGCGACTGCATACTGGATGACAAAACTCGTTTAGCACATGCGACTGAACGAAATTTCCACTAGTAACTCTCTCATGACTAACATGTATGTATTGTTATCCCTCAACAATTTGATAACTCTCCTAGGAAACATGCTTATATCAAAAATTGATGACAGAATTATCCTAAAAGACACTACTGAATTAACAAAACGCGCGGTTAAATGCCACCCTTTCTAATCATAAAGTGACCAGTTGCTGAATATACTTGAACAAGTTCATCTTTTAGACTAGTTATATGATACAAAAAAGAGGAATGGTCATTTCGAAAATAATCTACAAAATACACTATCCATTTTGAAAGTTCCCATAGTTGAAAAGTTCTTAAGTAGTATATTTTACTGCTTCATGATAACTTTGTGTCAGAAACTACACTTTACGACGTTATCTCATTAATTCCTAACAGAAAATACTTTGGATTAGAAACGGGAATTCTGTTACCTAACATAGAAGTTACAGTGACAGATGCATATCAGGGTCTATGAATTATAGGTGACAAATTGAAATTAACTATCAGGATCAACAACATGTGTATGAACTGTTAATGCTTCTTAGTCAAGGTGTATTTGTTTAAGATAGAGTCATGAAAGTGAAAAAAAACCTGAACTGACTGTGAACAGGGAACCAACTAGTACATTAATTTCTGTTTTATGAATTGATCAGTGGTGGTAGATGAGTAGGTGGCTGATAACTTTCTTCGAATTAAATTCTAGCCTTTGGTAAGCCTAAATTACACTTATATTTCAGGGTTACTTTACGTCCAGTTAATCACTCCTAAACCATAACCTAATGTGATATCGTTTGCAAATTTTTATAAGCTTAAGAAGTATGAGTGTTAGATATTAGCCCCCAGTCAGCATTTATCAGTTGGGTGTATTTGTAAACATGAAGAAACTGGTGTTCCTTCAGGGATCCAACCTTGAATAATTCATTGATGAACTCACTAAATCATTCAAATCACAACCGATTAGTCCTATTGAGCACAACTGAGTAACCGACTTACCTGTCTAATACGTATGGCTCAGTAATGCCCGAAAAATCTATCAACCAGGTTAGTAAATGATGGGAAGAAATCATACACAACTTATTTCCTTCTAATTTTACAGAGACCATATTCTTACATAATACAACTGTTAGTGATGGCTGATCCCTAGGAAAACTAAATTATAATATGTGTGTAATTTCATTGTAAAAGTTATACTTTATTTTCGCGCCATTTTCACTCCATACAATACTACTTATTTTTATCGCGGTTTCTGATACTAAACTCTGATTAGTTCATTTACACTTTTAATATGCTATGTGCTTTTTCCTGATCAAAGTTGTTGGAAAAATATATAAACGTCTAAACTTCCAACTATAATCGCAGTAAATATACCTTAGACTTTATTGTTTTCTTCTGGTGTCAGCTGAGTTTCTTGTTGAGAAGTCATTGTTCTACCGTTAATCGTATCACTTCGGAGTACTATGTCGTTCATATACACATACCACAGAACTAAACAACAACCATAATCTCTTTTGGCTTAGAAGCAAAGCAAACAGCACGCATTCCCTGAGTCAATTATTTCAAGAACTGTGTAATTCTATAGTTTCATTAAATATTCTCTCAAGTGGAAACCATATACCTTTCACTGGTTTTCACTAAAAGGCAACAAATTTTTTATCGAACATAACTGTTTCAACAAAAGTGTTCTGTTGATAGAGGTTAGTAATCGTATACTTGTCAATAAAAAGCGAAATTTTCTGGCATATAGAATTTTAAGGTAAGTGTAAAAGTGTACACGAATAATAACCTGGATTTCGCTACTAGCCATTAAGTAAACCATAACATAATGAATATTCAGGTAAAAGCGAGGTATCTGAATGACAGCGTATCTGCCAGCAGACGTCAAGCAAATAAATCTATTTATTACAAATAGCAAACTATAAGCATAAATCAGCAATCGAAAGTACATTGACTTAAATTTCTGTAGTTCATTATTGTGAATTCCTCTTCTACAGTGGTTAATTGACCAACAAGAGTCCAACTGTCAATCAAGTCGATTTCCATAATATTATACAGACGATAATATTCTTCAAAGGTGGGTACTCGAGAACAATCGATTCTGCTTCTTGAAGACAAAAAATAACCAGTCAAGCAAAGACAACAGTCCCAATTAGTAAGAATGAATCAACCTAACTAATAAAAGTTCTAGACTCTACTTTGGTCTCAAGAACAATGTTTCCCAAGTAAATACAACAGTAGGCAAGAATACAAGAATTTCAATCCAATGTTCATAATTTAAACAAAAGAAACCAGCCAATCAGTGAAAGACAATAAGACTTGGGCACTGTAATAGAGTGTGAAATTCCATTTTAGTGTTATCATACAAAGAAGGCATCTAAGAAGAGTTACAAAGAATTCTCGATAACATTGGGATTAGAGTTACGTTTAAATCAACAAACTTGCCTAGAAACAAGCTTTTCAGGTTAAAAGATCCTATTGATCCAATTAAGCAAAATAATTTGATTTACCAAATCCCTTGAAATGATTGTAAGGTTAAATAGATACATCATAGTAGTCAACCAAGATCAATGAGAATAACAGAGAGAAAAAAAATTAACATCCAGATCTTAATAAGATGATGAGGAATTAAGAGAAAAGGTTGGCTATAGATATGCACGTGAAAGTGAGCAACAGTATGAAAAACTTAGTTGAGTAGAGGGAGAGATCGATAATTGAATCTTTGTTTTGCTACACAGAAGTCAAGTTGCTATCTGTTGCTATCATATAAGAGTCCATCTGCCAACAAATGAATGCCTCGATCCTCCAGGATATTCATGATGTTATATTCTTCTTGCTGACTAGGAGTGAAATCAGTGATGTGCATTTCGTTCTATTTCGAACTTATCAATCAGATGTACCTATACCCCAGTGAATCGAATCAACACTAAATATTATATGTCATAGAAATGATTCTGAACCTATCCTAGATAAATGAAGAATTCTATTATCTTCATCATTACAAAGAATAAAGAGAAGATTGGAACTATATCAACTCTGTCTCAAAATTGTAGGGTTACTTGATATGAATATGAACAATAAATCTTATCCGAAACATGATCCAGTAGATGATACTCTCTCACTATATGATAGTGAAAAGCAGGTTGAACTAGTCAGCTAGACATAAACAAGACAGAATTATATACTATAAATACTTGTGAGAAACTTAAAACATTAATTTTTCGATGGATGTACTCAAAGTAATGACTGGAACATCATTAAAACATCTGTTGTGGATTAAATTAATCTTAGGTAACTTTTGAAAGAGTTGTGAAAGATAGTTCAAGTATTTTTTTTTTAGTGTCATAAGAGTATTCTTTAGTTTTTCCTTCTTTTCATGACATCATTGTATTGTATATCATATATTTAGCCTTTTCCACGATTAGATACCAAAAGGTATCACTCTCATGTTCAGCTGAGAAGCAGCCATTCTGATAGCTTCCTATATGTTAATCTCTGTAGCATGAATATCAGTCTCAGGCTAGAGGATAAAAACATGTCTCAGGGGTTTCCAGTCACTAGACTTTAGCTAGTTTACGTTGAATGGGTGATTTAAGGCTATAGTAAATCCATGCCACCTATTATATGAATTACTATTTTACTGATAAACAGAATAAGTAAGCGGTGAACAGTTTCTTAATTTTTCACCGAGGAAACATTTCATTGTTAGATATTTATAGTCAGTCAAAAGAAATGCTTATGTAGCCTCACACACTTCCCCAAAATCAATAGCCTAGGATTCGACGACATTTGACATTGATGCTGACCTTGATAGTTTAATTGGGCTCGCTAAGCTGAAGTCGCCCGATCAAGCATCCTTGCCATTTGGCATGCTGTCGTGTTACGTTGCACTGCCCGTATTCGACTCTCTAGCCAGTTAGTTGGAACGCATCGGTATCTTGGTACAACCACCCAAATATACTATTCCATCCGACTACACTATCATGTTCTTCCTTGGTCTCATATTCGTGGTCATACAGCAAGTCCGAATAATTAGTGATTGGTCTTTGCATCTGTCAAATTCGCACCAAAACAAATCCTAAACTTACACAATCAAGGGTTTATGCTTGCTAGGATTTACTTAAAAGTGACCCAAATCTCGATGGATATTCTACTTCTGTACTACTCACAGTGATGAAATCAGAGACGTTACCATTAAGCTATACAATCGACGATCTATCACTTACTGAACTGAATTAGGTACTAATTACTCATTTGACAAGAAGAAAAACAGTAATACATAGTTTACTTACTAGCTGACTCAACTTCTTCCTTTTGGTGTTGTTGTTGTTTACGTCCTCTGAATGAATGTTGATCATTGAATATTTCACTTTTTTGTACTTCAGGAATAAATTGATACAATCCCATCTGATTTAAATTGCGCACTTTACGTAAATCATTTGAATCACCTGGTTGAATTGGTGTAGACCAACGTTCTGTCTCAGGCATCTTTTTTACAATCAAACCATTATCACTGAATTCACCTCCAGATTGACTGGAATATAAATTTCGTTTTTTTAAAGGATTTCGATAATATATTAAATTAGTTAACAAATGATCCAAGTAGTCAACACCTTTTCCATTATCATCCTCAACATCGCTATCCAACAATGAAGAAGAATATTCACCTTCTTTATTGGCATCAGGCTCACCTAATTTATTCATATGTGTAGCCCAGGGATTTAAAGAAGCTTGTGACTTGAAACGGGCTGGATAAATTGATTGCCGGTTTAAGCCGTATGGGTGAATGAGCTCACCATCAGTGTCACCATCATCATCATTGTCATCTTCACTGTCTTGCAGAAATGTCTCTTCATAACCTCTACCGTATCTCGGATCCAAATGATTCACTGAGCTTAACTGTTGATCACTCCATGAACGACCTAGAAAGTTAAATTCAGAGGAAACACAACTGTTAATTCATGTAAATGTCACCTGCTCAAAGTATAAAATAGGCAGCTATTCAGCACGCCTTTTATTCCAGCAATTGCCTAACAGAAAACAGTTCATGAAAGTGACTTGAAGTGGTTAAAAAGGTTATTTTACTGAAAGCAAAGCCTAACGTCTATGTTTTTATGATATTGTGTTCTCTGAGCTGGATGGAGCTCCAGAGTAGAGTTTTCATTATCATTCTAGACAACATCATCATCCCAAGCTTGAAAAAGAAGTGAGCTGTAAGGTTTATTTAGTAGCCTGTCCTGACGGCCTTGTGTGTGACTCGTTGCTTCTGTCAAGGTCTTATCGTTGTCTTCATGCTTATTTTGATTGGTTGTCCTGATGACTTGAAATGTGACCTTCTGGCTGTTTCTTATTGGTTGATAGATTGTGTCAATATTAATGTCTGTTGATTGCTGACTGACCTAAAAATTCTCTGGAATCCTCTCGATTCCTACCACCTAGGATATTCACATTTTCCCAGTCAAATTCATGTCCGTTAAATAAATTGCGGAGAGAACCTTATCATCTATTTTTTTCCCACGTTTGTGCTGATGATGTTGTCCCGAATGACAACGAAAGCTCCACGACTAAACAGTCCGGGTCAGAGAACACAACACCATTAAAACTATCCTCCTGAGATACAAATATTCTCCTTCATGATGACGGCTACACTATATACCTCTAAGTTTGCTTGGCTTCACCTGCTGTTTTGCCCATGACCTTAAAATAACCTAATTGGCTGTTTCTACACCGTTACTAGTTGTTCTACTCTCAAGGCTGAACTCTCATTGGTTGTTAACTATATGTGGATTTAGTCTTGTCAAGGTCATTTGGGAATGCATATATTCAGCATCGCCCCAAACTGTATTGACTGTTGTTGAGACAGTAAAAAGCTCTCTGTCAACGGTTCGTCTTTCCTTGTCTTCGTGCATCGGTGGTACTGTTGTTGTGGTGGTTGACATTCTGATTTGCATCAGAGTCGATTCCTTTGCGCGTTAGGTTCGTATTGTTGGTAGGCTGTTAGGTTGTACTATCTGTCATAACAGGCTATATGCTTGGTTTTGCATTCAGCTGTCAGCATGTGTACTAAAAAGAAACCACAATCCAGACAGATGAAAGTCATAGGTATGTGTTCATTACTTCTGTCGAGATAATGTTCACATTAAGCTGAACTATTTAATGGTCAGCTTTGGCCAGTGAACGGAAATGGTGAACCAGTAGAAAATGTTATAAATTTCCACTGGCTGAGGTTGTAAGAAAATCTGTCAAAGACGTGTAAAGACAATCTGTTTCATTTTAGAGAACTGGCTGAAGAGTGAGAAAGAAGGCAGAAGCCTCATCAGCCAGGCTCAGATGTGATAACGTCAATCCATTAAAAATCTCATTGTTATTCTGGGTCGTGTAATGAACTTAAGGTTCCCCCTCTGGGCCATAGAGTACGCAAAAGGTCGTTCCTTAGATCGTTTGAGAGATACTAACTGCAATATCATACTCGTATTCGCATTCAATCCTTCAATTCAATACTTTGTTGACTTCAAGTCATCGTACTCATGCTACAGGTAATGACTTCAACTGACATATAACAGTAAACGTTACCATATTACTCGTGGTCACTTGTTATCTACATCAGGTTTAGGTAATTTTTGTTACGTTTGTGTTTGTAAACTGGATGGAAAGAGATTGATAGCCAAACGATGAAGAATACGGTCCTTAAGTCCTAACTGCTAATCAAAATGTACCACTTTACTTTAAGCTCTACCGTCTGACCTAATGAGTACTAAATTGATTCAAAAATCATTGATATGATCAACTAGTAAGTAAGTACCTGAATAATTCAGTGAGAAAGTTACTGACTGCCTGTGACTAATTCTTATTAGAATCTTCAAGGGATATTTAACTTCATTGAGGTAACTGCTACTCTTCACGGACCACTGCCAATAAGGTTTTCATATTAATCAACCCTCAAAAGCAAAATAAAATGTCTCAATGACTTTTGCTTGGTCATCTAGACAGTATGGTAGAGGATGTAACCACCATATTCAACAGATAAGCCTGTAGTGGGTGTTGTTGATAAGAATGGATATAAGCAGTATATGTTGAGAGGATGGCTGAAATTATAGGCAATTACCTGCATGGGTAAGGATTCTGCACAGAGAAACTCAAGAGACAATATGAAGGCATTAAGGGCAATCGAAGATAGAAGCAGAAGAGGAAATCAAGCACATTGTGCCAGTGACTGTCTTAGTGGAAGGTGTTCAATATTTGATGACTACCGTACAAGATGTCAATAACAATCATTCCTTCCTGCGTCTCAGTTTTCTCGCTTCGTACAATCGATGTCTCTGCTCCTGGACATGATGAAGATTCGGTGGTCTGCAGTGATCGAGGATGGAGACATCACGATCTTGATCAAGGACTTCGAGTTGGTCGAGCAGCTGGTGGGTGTCCGGAATCCAGGAGAGAAGGTCGTGGTGCTTGGCACATTACTGAAGGATAGAGCGAAATCGGCATGTGATGGCTTGGAAGGTGTGGATGGGAAGGAGAGTTGGAAGAGACTGTTTGAACACCACTGATCGGATTTTGACAGCCCAGTGGACAGGGAGGGAGCTAATGATGCAGAAGTTCCGGAGAACGAAACTCGGAAAACGAAGATCCGCTGACATTGGCTGTGAAGTTGACAAGACTTCTTCGACGAGCACTTTCCACTTGGGATGAGGACTCCAAGGCGCAGTTCACTGAAAGTATCCCAAATGCCATCGTCCAGAAGCTACGACTAGTGAACGCAGCCCAACCTGTGGATATTAATGCGCTGACGAAGGTGACCAGACAGTTAATGGGTACAACAGTAGCTACTGTGAGGTCACGAGAGGCAAACGACTGGAAAAAATAAGTCGATAACCTTCGTGAGGAGGTGGGTACATTTCTGATGTATATCAGTATATACTACTTATATCCATTCTTATCAACAACACCCACTACAAGCCAAACGAGCCAATTTATAACCCGACCATAGGTTCACTTAACTTTTTCATATTTTCAGTCTTAACTGAAGTGATGTGTTAGAGAAGGTATTTTTAAGGCAACTCTTGCAGCTGCAGCTGATACCACTGCCATTTCGCGTTAAGGACATAGATGTGAACTTCGAAGAAAGGATGGTATACTCTTTTTATATTGTTTTGTTGTTGTTTGTTTTGTTGTTTATATTGTTATCATAGAATTCCATATACACGTATAACTTGATAAGGAAGCAGAAAACACATAGGATATCAATGATTTTCTCACATTAAGTCATCCTGTTTCAGAGTCAACCATAAGCCAATATGAAGGTGGGGATAAGATCTCATTTTGGATACTAGATGATTAACAACCCGTCAACTGAGGATATAGAATAACTAATTCATGATACCTTTGATTATACTGCTCGTTGATAGCTTCTTTAACTCCAGAAGATAATTGGGTCAACTCACTCGTTTATTAAGACGTATGCTGCTGATTGTTTTGATCAACTCATAAGCTCGAACTGTGATTGAAGAGAATTGTAGTTACCATACACAGATCAAATGAAAATATTTTTAGCTCATAAATCCAATAGAGAATGTTTACTTGTCAGCTTATATAATACAATCTAATATCTTTTTCATGCTCAACTGAACAATTAAGTTTAATTTGAAACAATTTCGATAACTCTATTAGAAGACGAAGATTATCTGAAAAATGTGATGTGTATTTCCGCAATATATTTCGAGCAATCTCATCACACATTTACTTGTCTCGAGTCAATTTATATATGAAAATGAAAGTGAAATATAATGAATGAGAAAAGGTTGTGACACTAGTCTTGGTAATATAATCAGATGAGGATTACCAATCTGTTATCAGCAAAACATACTATGCAGCTCAGTTTATCATTGTTGAGACAACAAAACACCTGTATCGCCACAAATCTCAACCTTGCATAAATGATCACGTCACATCCCACTGTGTTTACCAATTTACATGTATGTGTGGGCACACATACATAGGGAGGAGTAATTGTTCAATGCAGACTAGGGTGGGTGAACAAATACCCAAATAAATTTTGAGGGAGTTGTGGAGATTTGGAAATATTCCAAGTTGTTATTCATCGTTGACTGACATCAGTTGGAGGAACAAAGGAAACCTGGGAGCACTGGACAGCTGTTTCATCTTAGTATGGGACTCCTCAGCAGTGCGCACCCACGATCCCACCCTCCAGGGACCGAACCCGTCCCATACTAGGACGAAACAGCTGTCCAGTACTCCCAGGTTTCCTTTGTTCCTCCAACTGATGTCAGTCTACGATGAATAACAACTTGAAACATGCCCAAATGGCTAGAAAAACAGTTTAACACATAAACTTTGATAAGTGCAGGTAACAGATATCCACCTTGATGTATAGCAAAACATATCATTGAAATGAATCACAGGGTTAATAAGAAAACGGCCTTCAAGATATTATACAGGAATAATCAGGGGCTCATACTGAAGTTTGCCGAAGCGTTAACCATCCATAAACTTAATCCCCCGCTGTGTGTACAAAAACAATTTGTTGTTTCACTTAATTTACCTTGGTAATCCTCATCTGATTATATTACCAAGACTAGTGTCACAACCTTTTCTGATTCATTATATTTCACCTTTCATTTTCATATATAAATTGACTCGAGACAAGTAAATGTGTGATGAGATTGCTCGAAATATATTGCGGAAATACACATCACATTTTTCAGATAATCTTTGTCTTCTTATAGAGAGTTATGGAAAATTAAGTTTAAACTATCCGAAATGTTTTCATACTTTATGCTTATCGAGTAATTACTAACAATCATTATCTTGAAGGTCAACTTTTGATAATCGAGTTTCAAACCTCTTTGATTCATTCATCTAAGAATGAATTACATTAAGTGTCAATGTTCCACAATAGTCA